TAGTTTGCTAAAGAGCTAACATAGTTTTGTTGAGCACAGATAGATGACTTAAACAGGCTCTTTAAACATATAATTTATATCTAGATAAGATGACAAGCTGTAGAATAATTATGATACAATCAATATCAATAGAAGAGGAAGGCACCCTCAGACACAAGCAATGGAAGCCCACTATATATTTGGTGGAGGGAATGAAAAGGGGAAAGAGAATGCAAAGTTAGAAAAAAACCTGAAAAGTGAAATCCTCTTTGACAGAGGCAACTCCCAGAGAGTAAGAAAATGGAGTGGAAATGTGAAGAAGAGAGGAAGAGAGACTTTCCTGAAAGAGGAGCAAGGACAGAATGCTGGATTTGTATGCTAAGCTCCTGAAATGGCCATGACTTTTCATCAGACAGACTGGAGAACATGAAGGCCAAACTGTGGAAAGTGTGTCTTAGCCAAAATCAGGACTCTGGACGTCATCTTATAAGGCAGTGGCTCCTACAGACCCCGTATGTGGATCCTGGCCATGCTCTGATCACCCCTCTGAGTGTTACTTCTCACATTATAACAAAACTGTCCCTCAGTGGGAGAACATAAGCTCTTCTTTTATTTTTTGCTGTGCGTTCAGATCTAAATGCACTCAACCAATAAAAATGAAAAACTACATCAAATTCTCAAAATATGTCTTTCAAAAGGTTAATACTTAGTATTTTTCCACATTGATTCCTAATCTTAAAAGTCGATGAGTCTTTGAAACTCTAGGCCAAATTTCAACTACTGAAAGTAATACCTATTTTCTTTTTTTCCCCCAAAGCTTTGAAACACATTCACAACGATAACTAGCATAGCACAAAAACAGCCCTTTATCTTAAGGGGGCTGACATGGAACCCCTGCAAGTCCCCAGTTCCTCCATTCTGTTTGCTACTCAAGAGTACAAGCAAAGACCCGGAAGACAGCAGAGATATACTCAGTAAGGAATGGCTGCTAGGGAGGGCGGCACTGCCCTACGACTGCATTCATCACAACCACACACTGGTGCTCTCCAACCCTGGAGAGTGCCACAGTGTCCTGGAGACCTGGGACAACATACAAAGTCTTTCTTCTGAACACCAAGTGCTTGTTTCATGCTCTTCTGAAATTCTTATTCAACCTCACAAAGGATTATGTCCGTGTTCAACTCTACCCACTTGCATCACCCAAGACAAAGGTTCTGCCTGGTTTAGACACAGCTGAGGGAAAGAGACTAGAATTCAACAAAGTGCACTCCTACAAACTGAACAGATTATCTACCAGGTCTGCTTTCATTTATGCCCCAAATTCATGTCTACCCTGAACATAGCAGTTCTTCTCATACTTTTCCACTAAAGAACCTCTAACATCAGAAGTATAAACTGCATCTCCTCATGGCAGCATAGTCTGGGCATGCGGAATTTTAAATCCATGCCAATTCTCTACACTCCTTCGTGATAGATCTCCCTATATTGTACTTTTTACTTGCATAATACTTTAATATGTGAATACACACACACATATATATATTCTTCCTGAAGTAAAATTCATATTCCAGAAAGTTACATTATGTTTATCAGTGCTTTTGCACATCTACAGGACTTTATCAAACCCAGCTGATGAACCAAGAATAAATCAAAGAAAAATTATATTTTAAGAATTAAAACTACCACTGAAGCATAATACATACATAACCTGAGACTTTTTTTGAAAGTATAAATCTTCTATTATTGACCTAACAAACACAAGACAAATACTTCATGGACTATTTTCGGAGGAAGCCTAAAAAAGAGACTGTGTGTTAAGTGAACACCCCTAGCGACAGCAAAAGCAGTATGAGCGATGCACTAATCACAGCAAGCTGGGTGTGACTGACTCCCTCTCTGGTCTTCTGGTTTCCTCTCTCCCGATTGCATAGCTAACTTTATGATCTAGGTCTTCCGCACACCAAAGCCATGGGTCACGAGTAAACCAAAACATGGTATTCCAGCTGTCATAGTGAAATATAAAATAAATGCGAAAAAATTCATTTTAGTAGCTAATGTCTCCCTTGTTTTACCCACCACGCTGTCTAGGGGGAAAGTCCTCAAATCCATTTTTAGAAGGAAGTGGAAATTTTTGGTCTCACACCTGAGCACTTTCTTGCCTTTGTTTTCTCCATTTTTCTAAATGAAACAGCTTTCCATCATTCTTCCCTGCTGAGTAAACTAACTACCTGGCTCAGATGCCACATCTTCCATGAAGTCCTCCTACCCCCCAGTCAAGGTGACCCCACTGCTGGGCCTGGAGAGGCTGCAGGTCCCACCAACGTGGCTTTAGTAGACTGTCTTGTGCTAATCTACTTTGACCTTCAGTCTCTCCTTCCCCCTTTCCATTTCTTACTCTGTATTCTTACTCTGTATTCTTACTCTGTATTCTTACTCTGTATTCTTACTCTGTGTGGGAGTAGTTTCTGCCAAAGATTTCACTTCTCTGAGTCTTTTCCCCCCTTTGCTATTCTCTTCTCCCTCTTTCATCCCCTCCCCCAACACTCAGTGGGCTGAGAATTCATAGTTGCCTTAGTCAAGCAACTTTCTAAACTCTCAGTAATGGGCTGGAATCCAATGTATTCCAACTTCTCTTAGAAAACTTTAAAAACATTACAATTTTAGAAAACAAGCAAGTTTATTTTTAAAACTTTTAACTGCACATATTAAATTTAGACTCAGATTTTATGGACCTCTACAATCTGATTTCTCCTTATTCTTCCACTCCAATCTCCTACCTCTCTCCCTCCTTCCATTCTCCTCTGAATAAAACTTCCTATGCACTAGTAATGGAAAATAACTCAAGAGTATCTTGGGTTTCCCAAACTATGTCATGGCTTCTACCCCACAGTGAAATGCACTCAACCTGCCTGCCAGCTTCTTGGATAATTTCTCAGTCTTAAGAACCCAGTTCAGATGATACTTTTCCCTCCCTAAATCACCATCCTGCCCCATTCCAAACTGGCCACCCAATCAGAACAAAATGTGATCCCGTCTCTTTGCCATACCTCTGTTTATTCACCGCAGTAGCAGTTACATGGTTACCTATTTCCCCTCCTCAGTTCCTTCCATGCACCTTTCAGGGTCCATGTCTGATTACCATTTTATCCCTTCCCCTTAAAACAGTGGCACATGAAGGTGTTCCACAAATGTTTGTTGAGTTGTACATTTATGTGATACAGAAAAGAGTCTATAGTCTAAAAATATGCAGTTCTCAGGACAGGCATGTAATTTAAATTACAGTTGACCATTGGACAAAGCAGAGGTTAGGGGCACCACTCCCCCAGTAAAAACTCTTCAAGTAACTTCTGACTCCCCAAAAACTTAACCACTAACAGTCTACTGTTGACAGAAGCCTTACTGGTAACATAAACAGCTGATTAACACATTTTGTATGTTATATGTACTACATACTGTATTCTTACAATAAAGTAAGCTAAAGAAAAGAAATGTTAAGAAAATCATGCGAAAGTAATTTACTGTATTTACTGAAAAAAATCCTTTGCAAATAAGTGGACCTGCACTGTTCAAATACAAGTTGTTCAAGGGTCAACTGTATGTATTTTAAATATAAAAAACATTTAATACTTACAACTTAATGATTAATACTTCCCAATCATATGTTCATTCCTTTAACGAATATCTGGGCTCCTATTAGCTGCCAGGAACTGTGCTGGGCCAGGGCACCCACTGGCCCCCAGGGTGCCTTTGCGTATATTGCAACAGGGCACCCTCTCTAGGCAGGCGAATTATAAAAGCTGGCCCAAATAAACACTTCAGCTGACATCTAAGGGTGTGGAGGGTCTGCCTACAGTCATGAATGAAAAAAATTCCCTCCCTTCTGGAGCTCAGATTTCCAGTACGGGAGCTAGACAAAAATCTGGTCAATTTTATATGACTCCGAAAAATCAGACTTCAACGCACCACACTTAATGTTCTCTGTATAAATCCTCACCTCATTAAACACTGGTACTATAATCTATCAATCTGAACTTGGGCTGAGGCAGCCCAGACAGTTCTAGCACTCTTTCAGGCAGGACACAGTACTATTTCCAGATTCAAGCAGACTACAAAATTGACCACATTTTCAATTATCACTTTATGGTAACCAGCCTAATTTATTTCACCAAGGAACATTTTCAACTCATCTGTTTGATTTTGTCATTTTTTACCTTGCATGAGCTTGAGGATTTTTTTCTATAATAGTATTTCATAAGATACTTCACTCAATTTCGGATTATTTACTTTAAGAGTTCATTGCTTAACAATGCTACACTCTTATCTATTAAAGTTAAATATGAAAGATAATTGCTATTCCCAGCTGATGAAACACATTTGAATACAAATCTTCTTTAAAAATAAGCTAAAATATACTTTTCTAATATTAAAATATTTCTTCATAGTTAACAGGAAACACTCATTTTTGCATCTCTGTATAAGATGTATATTATACACATATTTTTGACCAATTGCTTTCTTGTGAAAAATAGGTCAGTTTAATCCAAGTTCTGCAAATAATGGTCTGAGTTAGTGTCAACTACAACTCTCTTCACTTCTTGTTACTCTAACATATAGGGTAGTACAAAAATAAATCTCAAAAGAAATATGGGGGATGGGTTAAAAATCCATGGTCATCCAGTTGGCAAAGAATATCTAACCATTTATTTCAAACTCCTCAATCCAAATATGGTTCCTGTTTAGAGGCAGTGAACCTAAGACTTTAATACCAGCATCTAATGGTTGGAAAGGCATTGTAATTTTGTTAAATTCAATTAATTCATTCAACAGATATTTATTAAGCATCTCTTAAGAGGCAAGAATTGTGCAGGAAAAGTGCAAGTGAACAAGGAAAATGGCACCAGCATTCCTGGAGCTCACCTTGGAACAAGGTCAGCATCTCATAAGCAGACATTCCTGTCCCCAAAGATTCCTTATTATAAGATTTATTGTCAACCTGACTTCTCTTTAGTGCAAAGTCTTACCTCTTAGATTTCTGGGATGAATCTGTTTAGTTCGAGGCATCTTCTTTGATTCAGGGATCCTTTTTTCTTCTTAGAAACTGTAGGAAGAGCAGGTCACAAAAAGGTAGCTCCATAAACTTAATGTCCATCAATTAATCCATGTACTGAAAAAGAAAAATAAATAAAAATCACAACTGACGACCATCAAAGGAAAAAGACACATCAAAGATAATGCTTAATACAACAGTGATCTAAACTCAACAAAGGTAACCAAGCTGGAGACTACTGCAAAAGATTATTTACTAACTTTTAACTAAACATAGACACGTTATTTTACCAATATCTGGGCTTTCTCATTAAGAAAACAGAAAAGAAAAAAAACACTGTACCTTTATCAAGAGTGAAAAAAATTACTGAATTGTTTCAAAGTAATATTACCAGGTACAATTAAAGTACAGCATCAGGCTATAAAAGGAATATGCTGTATGTAGAACATGTCTGCCCATTCATAAACTCTTTGGGGACAGGGATCATGTCTCATTCATCATATTTCACTGCACTAATTCAGTTAACATATGTAGTTGCTATTGTGGATGCTCTCCATTATTCCAGTTCTTCCTTCTGGGCCCATGGTAGGACTGTACTTTCTGCCCCCCTGTGTTTAGCTAACATGTGTGACCAGTTCTGGCTAATGACTTGTGAGTGGAAGAGACATGTGTCGCTTCCAGGCTGAAGCAGTTAGTTGTAGAAGCAAGATCCTCCAGAGTCCTTTCTCTCTCCCATGGGACAGCCACATCCTCTAGGTAGTGCATCTGACATCACGGAGCTGACTCCCACTAACCCAGCATGATCTTGTAGCATAAAAAAGAAAGAGACTTTTGTTGTTTCAAGTCACTGAAGTTTGGAGTTATTTGTTATTACAGCATAACCTAGTCTGTCTTGATTTAGACATTTTAAAAGCAATGATCTTTCCTTTACAGGAAAGAAATAAATACCACATGGAGCAAACACATGACAATATGACAAGACAGTAATAACCTAAAACTTAATCATCTCTCTCCCCAAATCAGCTACCTTGGCCTCCTCTTGCACGGTCCTCAAAATTTTAGTTTTAACCTCCTGCAATTTGGGCTAATAAGCAAAGCCCATTATTACGATGTTAAACACAAAATTTTTAATCACTAAGTAAAGACACAAAAAATGGAACAGGAATGGTCTGTTTAAAACTTTTGTTTTATCTGGGACTGTAGGAGAAACAAGAGAATACTTACTGGGCACCTACTGTGTGCCTATATGCTTTCTACACATTAATTCAATCCTAGTAACTGGTAACTATCAATTATCTATTTTATAGATAAGAAAATTAAGCCAGTGAAAGATTAACTGACATGTCCACGGGCAGCAACTAAGGAAAGTGGCACCCTGTGACTTGGTTACTTAGTGCCTGTTTCCCCTCAGTGGAGATAACCCCTTGTCGGGTTTTATTGAAGAGGCTGTGTAGCACAATTCATGACTATATACTTTGGTGTCACACCAGACTAGGTTCAAAGCCAGGCATTACCCCTTACTGCATCTTGTTCAAGGTACTTAACCTCCCCAAAGGTTAGATTTCCCAGCTGTAAAACTAAGGAATAGTATCCACCTCATAGGGTGTAAAGACTAAACAACGGCCCACTGCCGGACACATAAAAATATTCAAATATTAATTTTCCTGAAGAAAGCTTATATGGGAAAGACTACATCTAATATCCCAGGATATGGTTTTTGAAATTTGTGGTTTCATTGTAACAGAATAGAAGGCTTATCCCTGACATGGCTAAATGTGGGTACTGACAAAAATATTTGCAGTTTTGGGGGAAGAATATGAAAAATGATGATCCAATACTAAGTATGTACTTCATCTAGCACTGTGCTAAGTGATCGATAAAAGATATGGTTCCTCAGCTCCCTGCAGTAATGACATCCACCGTCCTATTCATGAAGCTTCTTATTCAACAGAAAATTTAGACATTAGGGCCAAACTGTAGGCTTAAATTCCTTATTAAACTTAAAGCTTTTAAATAGTCACGATATTTGGAAGTTTTTAAAGCGTGAAGTCCAACTGTAAGAGTCACGTGATTCCCACAAGACCAGGATCATAAAATTTAAAATATGCAAATTCCCAATCAGTAACCGCTCTCTGCTACTCCATTCACTGCCTACCCACTGCCCCTAGCTGTCCATCCCATGTTTAAATCCTTGCAGGGGGTTGGGGGAGTGGACATTTTCAAAGACTACAGCAGCACTGTAGCAACCAGGACGAGTGATAAATCATTCCTTTACAGGAAAGAAATAAATACCACATGGAGCAAAAACATGACACGATCAAAAAGCGTAAAGACAGTTGCAAGGAGAAAAACCATGAATGAATGTGGAGGGCGGAGCCTGGGAAAACCCCTCCGCAACGCTGCACTGAACAAAGCACTTCGAACGCCAGGAGGAGGGGAAGGGGAATGGAAGTGGCAGCTCTGGAAGGCGCCCGGAGTGGATGAGGAGAGCAGGAGGACGGCGAGAGGAGGCTAGTGCGGACGCCCTGAGACTCCTCCTCGCCGCCGGCTCCGCCAGAGCCCCCTCCCCTCTAGCAGCAACTCCTTCCCCCGCCTGACCCCAAAGGGAGCCTAATCCGACCGGCGCCTAAACCTACCGCCCTCTTCCCAACTGCTGCAGGCGCGTATTCCCAACCCGGAAAGAAACTACCCAGGTGGTTGGGAGTAAACAGGCACTTAGAGCAAAGAACGAAAGGGAAAGAAAGCCACAAAGCCGGGAGGTTGGGAAGCCGAGGCCTGGTCTCCCTCACCCCCCACCCTCTTGCAAAATGCGTCTGCGGCTGGAACGCGGCTGAGAAGGCTGGGTCCCTCCGTACCTGCTCAGCTCGCAGGACCGCAGCTCGGGCCGCTCGCGAGCGGCGAGGGCGCCCAGAAGTGGCAAGCGTCTCCCACACGCAGCCATCCCCTCTGCAAGGTCGGCGGTTGCACACACACGCATACACACACGCGCGCCCGCACGCCCCCCGCCCGCAGAGGGGGATGTGGTCCTGCCCACCCCACAACACCCCGCCGCCCTCCCCACTGCAGCGCCTCCGCCGCGGAGCCCGCGCCGAACCTGCTGCCAGGACGCCGGCGGAGCGGCTGCCACTGCAGCCGGCCCAGGAGCTGCGCTGTTGATGGCGGCGCCGCAGCTCGGAATCTCCACGACCCCCGCGCGGCGGCGGCGGCGGCGGCGGCGGCGCCAGGGAGCCCTCCTTCACTTGACAACCCCAAACACAAACATAACCTCCTCCTGCGGCTGCTCCCGGCCCCCGGCTCCGTCCCTCCTCCCCGCCGCCGCCGCCGCCGCCGCCCCAGCAGCAGCCACACTAAAGGCCGGCGACTGGCACTCACACGACCCAGCACTGAAATATTAAACAGGGGAGCCGGCCCGGGGTCCGGAGGGAAGCTCGGAGAGCGCGGGCGGGGGCCGCAGGCGCCTGGCGGCGGAGACTGGCGCGTTCGCTGACGCCCCCGGCCGCAGCAAGACCACCGCCGGGAAGAAGCGTCCGGGGGGGCCGGGCGGCGAGGCCCGGAGCGCGCAGCGCGACGAGGCGAGACGGGGCGGGCGGCCCCCTGGGACCGTGGGACCCGGGGCGAGGTGGGCGACTTCGGGCTTTACCTCTCCCCGGGACAGAGTAGGGCACGTTTAGCGTCTTTAGGGGCGACGGGAAGAGCGCGGGCCGGGCGGCGCGGGGGAGGGAGGGCGAAGGTCCGAGGCTTTCCCGCGGGTGGGCGGGGCAGCAGGGGATCCCCGGGGGCGGGAGCGGGGAGGCCTCCGGCTGCGACACGCGGGCGGAGGAGGGGGCGTCCCCTGGTGAAGACCAAGGCGGTAGCTCTGCGGGGGAAGGGCGTAGGTCACCCCGGGCGCGGAGGCCCAGCAGAACAGGCGTGGCTGCCAGCCCAGCCCTGGGACAGGGGTAGGGTGGCTGCCCCGCTCCGGGCTCGCGTGGAGCCCGGAACCCCGGGTCTCCCCGGCGGGGCGGGCCCGAGAACGCGCCTCTCACCCCGTCGCCGGCCCGCGGCTCCGCCCCACCGGGCCGCCTCGGGGACAAGAAGGGGGGGAGTGGCGGAAGGAGGCCGCTGCGCGCCCGAGGGGGGAGGGGCTGGGTTAGGGACTTAGGGGGCGGGAGTCCGGGGTCGCGCTGGCTCCGGCACTGGCGCCGGGCAGGAGCTGAGGGGCGGGCCTGGCCGGTCACGCGGTCCCGGGAAGGCCTCGCCCGGTCGCGCAGTTGGGGCCGGTAGGTTCTAGAGGAGGGGCGGGGACGGGCGGGGCAGTAGTTTCCTTTTACCTCCTCTTCACTTTCTAAAGCAGGATGTGGGCCGGCCCGGTGACGTCATGGGGTCTCCCAGCCCCGCCCCCCGCCCGGGCCGAATGGGGGTGGGGATAGGGGAGGGGGGCACCCCAAGGGGGTTTCCTCAGCAACGCGTTGTGGGAAGGGGAAAGTCATTGTGAAGCTTGAAACTCATTAACTTTGAAAAACAACTTTAAAAAACAACGGGATGAGGGGGACGGGCTGTTGGTTTGTATGGTGGAAGGGGACTTATTATTAACCCTGAACTGAAACCGCTTTTTTGGTGGCGGATGTTCTATTAAAAGATTGAGGAAAGCCCAGGTTATTCCAGAGGCCGCTCCAAAGCCGTCGCGGTGGTTCCCAGGGCCTGAGCGGCGAGCGCAGTTAACCCTTGCCTGTCCACCTGACAGCCCGGAACAGAAAGGAGAAGGTGTTTGAGGTCAAGAAAGCGGGTTGCAGGGCTAGGCAGCCGACCTGCTTCAGGGACGCAAGGGTAAAGAGAATGGGTGAAGACGGAGTAATTACCATAAACCAGAGTTTGACCCCAGCTGCTAGAAAGCAATAGAGGAAACAAGGAGTGGAAATCCATGGGAAGAAAAAAAAATCAGGAGGGGCTGGACCTGGGTAACGAAAGAAGGTTTTTTAAAGAACGTTACAAGTTTGGGGCTCAGAAATTCCACATGTGCACCTATAGAAGCAGGCAAAAGGGATTGGTGTAGGAGCCATGCCGAACTCAAGCGGAATCAAGTAAAACAAAAATTTTGATGCAGAAAGATTTCTCAGATTAAACCAAACTGTTTTCCCCTTTTAAGGAATAAAAATACTAAAGATCGTACACTCACAACGGCTGGCCATCTGTGCAAATTTGAATTGTTTTGTTCCCTGGGGCGTCCATAAAGACGTCCAGGCTTTTCCTGCTAGGGTCCACCCCTAAAATTCCCCTGAGGAATATCTCTGTAGGTTGTAAATGTTAATTGTTAAGTATCCCATACCCATCGATGTAAAAGAAGTGTATTCCTCTCAATTTTGCTTTTTATCCAATTCTAGAGATTTTCCCACTTTGCTTTCTCCCTGTCCCTTATCCACCACCAATGAATTTCATGTAAGTGTCCCTATGTCTCCTCCTTTGATTGTAATATATAGAATTAGCTGCAAAACTGCCATTTTAAAGAGCCTTTTCACAATCTGTTAGGGTTCTGCTTCCCCACAATTGTCAGTTCAAATACACTTTTATAAGACTTTTCTTAGGCTGAAGAAAATAAAGTAAAAATTCTCTGAGGAAATCCTATCTCTAGCTTATTTGAGCTAAGTTTAACACAAGAATAGTATTAAAAATGGAATATTCAATAATGGCGAGCTTGTACCACAAAATAATGTCATGTAAATGAGGGAATATGCCTATTAAAAACTAACTTTGGTCATAAGAGCAAAGATCATCCAACAACTGCCTAAATTTTAAATGATGGTTAGCATAATATGCTTCCAACCTTGCAATGAAATAATGAAATAGTTTATTTTCCATGTGATATAGTCATTGTAAAATGAAAACGCTTCTAATGGATTGCTGTCACAAACAGCATGTAATGTAACTTCCGAACTGGGTATTTAAATTAAAAAAAATAAACATTCATTTACAAGTGAAAGTGTACCTAATCTGTCAGAGGATAAAGATTATGGTAGCTCCATAATTATTAATACTATTTTGTGTCACTTGAGTCAAAAATGGTAACTGAATGAATATAATTTTAACCCAATTGTTGAACATAACAAATACTCTGAACACAGTGGTTATAAGGGATTTGGCATTACTGTGAACTTTCTAACATGCAATTTTGTTATTTCAATTTGTTAAAGAACTTTTCTTAAACTACTAATAATTTAACTGTATTGGGCAATAAATCAATGTTAAAATGGTCTTTGCAATACCGAACAATTTTATATTTTTGAATTGATTTTCTAAATGCAATTCCTTCTCCTAATTCTGCCTCCAATTCTAACTTCCTAGTTTTCAGAGTAAGTAAGGAAAGCCAGCTAAACCTATAAAGTAGTTTCGGCTCGTTATGTGGCAAATTTAAATAGTTTCTCAAACTGTATCTTATAAACAGAATATGCAGAAAAAATTTTTTGAAGAAGATAAATGTGAGTGGTATACAGTAGTTAGAACTGTCAAAAATTCTGGAACAAATGGGGAAGGTAATCGTACTCTAAAAAAAGGCAGGGGAGGGCGCCTAGGGGCCTATTTCTCTCTGTCTACATCCTTACTGGCCAAGTGAACTCATTTGGAGCCCCGTCCGGGGTTGGGGTTCAAGTGAGGGCAGTGTCACTAAGAGGTCCTACCACATTTTCCTTGCTGAGCAATTTTGAGAGGACTCAAGTGTGCATCCCCAGGCTTTGTCGCGGGACTCCGCCGTCCCACCTCGCCCACCGGGGCTCCGCGCCACCAGCGCCGCCCGCGCGTCCCCAGCACACGTTCCCACGCAACCGCCCGGCCCGGCCCCATCGGGCTCCCCCCTGGCGCGGCCCCGCGGCCTCGGCCCTCCGCCCTACGCGCGGCCAGGCAGCGCCACCGCCACGCGGAGATCCCGGAGGTTCCTCCCCGGCGGCCTCCGAGTCACGCCGCTGCCCGTCCCTCCCCTCCGCCCTCCGCCTTCCGCCCTCCGCGCGCGTTGGGCTTTCCTGTCCACCGGCTGAATCCCCTCCTCCTCAGGGCGACCCGGCGACAAAACCTTCCACGCACTCCCTGCCAACTCTGCCGCACGCCCAGGCTCTTACCTAGCGAGACGCCAAACAAAAGAACCAAGAGAAAACTTACCCGAACTGCAACGCAAAAGTCTGATCCAAAGCTTCTTAGGCTTAACTTTTAATTTTAAAAACAACAAAAGCAGAAACCAAAAGCCTCCTAGGTTGGAAGTGGGCGTGAGAGGAAATGCTGAGGGGAGGCGCTTGGTTCCCTCGGCAGCTTTTGGCCCCCTCCCCCCTCCTTTTCTGGCCCCTGCCTCGGGCTTTGATGTTATCTGTTGCACCGCCTACGTGGGTTTATACCGTGGGCTCTGAGCCGAGAACGGTATACAGCTATTTGGCACTTTTTATGCTGGTTTGAAGAGAAGGAAGCAGGTGGTCATGGTAAAGGATCCCCACTTCTTAGCCCCGTAGCGAGAAAGGAGCATTTGCCCTTGCCTTCCCTTTGTTACCTGAACTGAAATGAACAAACCACCAATCTAGTAGTAATGCTCTGGATTCATTTCCCTCCACTGTCAGCACAAACTTAGAACAGATAGTATTGTACGTTTTCTGAGGCTTTGTTTGGTTTTTAGATCTCAGTTTTGAAAGTAAATGTTATTTCCCTCCTTAGACCTGCAGCCTTGAAGAAACAAGAATATACGTCTGAAGGAGATAAACTCCGGAACATGCCTTTCATATAGCACTCCTATAGGTCAGAATATCCAGCATCCTCCCCCTCACATTATGGAAAGCTTGTAACTGTTGATTTTATTTTAGCTACCTGGACACTATCAGACACTGGAAATATTTTTACATTAGAGTAATACTCTCAGGACCATCACAAACAAAGCACTAAAGGGTTGCTTTTTTTTTCTTCCCCTAACAGATTAGTAAACAGGACGATTGCACTGTCTGCCATTCAGCCCTAACTGTTCATCCACTTCAGGCCAACACCAGCCTGTACTCAGACCTTGCCCTCTGGGAGTTTACAAGTTAATGGAGACACTATAAACACATGGAAAAGTACCTTGGGGGAGGGGAGGGGGAAGACACAAGAAGAAGCTTATAAACAGAGCCAATTAAAGTTATACAGAGTTATTTACATGATTGCCGAAATTTTTCTGGATTGGGTGGAGGGCAGGATTAAGAGAGAAAGTTCCATCCTGAGGTTGAGTTCTGAGGAGGATTTTGAAAGAAAGTTCATGATTTGGCAATAGTATGAGAACAGTATTCCAGGCAAGGGAAATAGCTTGACTGTGAGAGCAAGTAAACTATGTGTGATGGTTTTTCTGGCTAGAGTGAAAAGTCAAAACAAATGTGAAAATAGTAGAGTGACCATGTAAATGTAGCATCCAAACTGGATAACTTCGAGAGGAAAAGGGTAACTATTAATAACTATATGCAGATGAGATACATACACCTGGACTATCCTAGGCAAACAGGAAGGGTGGATTGTCTAATAATGAGCCAGGAAGACAAAATGGGCAGGCAACAGGCAACCAAAGAAAAGGAGGAAATTAAGATGGAATTAAGGAAGGAATTAAAATATACTGCAAATACAAGCATATTTTCCTTTATTACACTTTGCAGCTTTTGTATTTTCCTCAGCATCAAAGCAAGACCCTCCACCAGCAAAAAGATTATAAGTCAGTGAAGGCTCAGATTATGGTTAGCATCTTTTAACAGTAAAGTAT